GCCCCGTTACAGTAGCTGTAACGGGGATACACGTACCCAGGTAACAGGGGGGGTGTCACACCAGATGGGCATGGTGTGACTGCACCCAAATAAGAATACGCTATGTGGCTGGGTAGCCAGTAGTTATGCATGTATTAAGATTTCGCTATATATATTACAGAAAATCGATACATTTAAAATTAGGCGGCTTTGCCGCAAATAAAACAAACAAATACAGTTTAAATTATAAACAGAATTTTTTTAGCCTTGTTTAAGGTTCTAACTACTCTTGGAGGTAGCGGATTGCGATCCGCTATACTCGTACTGGTTCTTGTGAAGAACGTAAGGTCGATGACCTAAATTACGCTTCCTCTATGCGCATAGCTACGGCAGTCCCGCCGCATTTACCGTCACAATTTATAAAAGAAGGCTGGTTAATATACCGGCTATGATATTTCCTATCTCTTGGGCACGATCCACGAGTTCTGGCGGGTGGCTCAAAATTCAAAGAACGTAATAGGACTGATTAGACATGCACAAACTCGCAATTTCGGCATTTGAGTAGACCTATGATAGAAACGCCTAGTTTACGAAGATACCGTTTGTACTGATTCTTGCGCGTAATCTCCTAGCTCGGAGATCTTTAGCACGACAAATGGCTGCCATGTTCTCAGCGATGCCGAATCCGTGGCCATTCCAACCTTCCGATAAGATTTACCTTGTTTGCCCTCGAAGGTCTCTTGTTGAGACAGGAGGGATTTCACTATATTATACATTGTGGGGACCGATATACAACTGGTTGAAGCGTTTCAGGAGGTCGCACGCTCATAAATTCAGACGAGCACAACCCGCATGACAAACTTGAGACAGAGTCTTGGCTCGCGACTTGTGTACCTGAAATAGATAACTTCGTCCTCACAGATGATATAGACTGATGCCGAAATCGTGATTGGATTGACGCCAAGCTCAACATGTTCACCGCACAACTCGCACAGAGGAAACTCTGAGTTTCAGAACTCATTCAACGCAAAGGATATAAGATTATCGGCTGTAGTTCAATTACCATGTTCTCAATTTTTTGTGTTCATGTAGAAATTAAGCTTGCTAGAATGAGACTAAATATACATCTGTTTTACTATCTGAAACATCAAATCACTCTGCAAAGCATTGTGCGAGGCCTACGTGGGCTAGCTGCTCGCATGTCCCATAAACTAGTTCTGCTCAAAATGCCATCACTTGCATACGTACCATTACAAACCATGATACCTCAATGTACTTCAGAGCTTCCTTCAAGCGTACAATGTGTGCGTACTTTATACCCTAATAGATTACGTACCTTAATTCAAATTGTCCAATTGCAGTTGAAAATATTGCTTCTCATCTAGAAATATTAAAATGGTGTTGATCAAACTGTCAGTTTCGTTGGAAAGCGCGGGAACTTAATTCAAGTCACTTCCCATTTGCCGCCAAACGTACGAGGTCGTCAATAAATTTCTTGTCTACGTCATCTTTACTGCCACCTCACACAATACTTATGGCTCCTGCTGACATTCTCGTGGCCTCTCCATCGAATGGTATCGTCGGACTTGAAATGTGCTCGGCCACACCGCCTGACAACTGCAAGTCACCACACGCGCCTCGGCTGCTCCAACACGCAGGTCTTCGTGCACTCAAACAAATTGCAGCAGACGACTCCGATGTAACAAAATCACATGAAGCAACAACTACAATGACCACGTCACCGAGAGATTTGAAGTGCAAGCGGAAATTTCATTCACCCACGACGTCTGGTAAGCGTTACTGCGCATCGTCCGTTTAACGGCAAGATAAGTATAGGGCTCATGTGAACACTTTGATTGAAAACAGCAGGAAGTTTAGATAATGAAGACTCCGAAACAAGTCCTGACGAGCTTGAGGACTCGCAGCCGTCACCACCTTTGTCTGAAGACGCCGAGGAGAAGCCCAACACGCCATCAATTAAGTGCTTCGTAGCTAAAGGAAGAGATCGTAAACGACGGAAAGTAGACGTGATTGAAAGTGCGCTGAAGCGTTTTCATGACGAAAAAGCCGATCCTCCGCGTTGTGTTGAGTTTACAACTGTTTGTCATCCCATAAGTAAAAGTAAACGACAAGCGCCGAAACAGATGCGTGTACAGATTGGTGTGTCACTTGCACAAGGTGCACGTGCGTATATGGAAGATCGATACTCGGTTGTTGAGCGTTTGTTTATAAATGAAGAAGATAAAGACTTTTCGCCAAGCTTGTTGGCAATTTACGACGGACACAATGGCGCGTATGCATCCGAGTATGCACGTCGGCGCTTTAAGGATCTACTTAGTGAGTGTGAAGAGCTGATAGAGATTAGTCGTCGCGCTCAGCTTGCAGAGATGACGGAGGCTGACGTGAAGTCAATTCGCGAGCTATTAGTAGACGCATTTGCGACTGTGGACGCGGAAATTCTGCAACGCACTATCATATTGAATAAACGTGACGGATCAACGGTATTACTGGGTCTTTTAGTAGGTGGAAAGCTTTTTGTGGCAAATCTTGGCGACTCGCGAGGCATTTTGTCCCAAATTGACCACAACGAAGAGGTGAAAAAAGTGTCCAGTGTCATACGGCTTTCTGTTGATCATAAGCCCGATCGTAGGGAAGAGACAGAACGTGTGGAAGAAGCTGGAGGAAAAGTGATATTTTCGGGATGCTGGCGCGTAGCACACGATCAAGTTTCATTGCGTTTAGCTATAAGTCGCTCATTGGGTGACCACCCTCTGAAATTGAATTTACCGGAGTCGTGCTTAGCTCCTCTTGTCTCAGTAGTACCGGATATCCGAGTGCTGAACGTAGAAGCGGCCGGCGAGTATCTCGTTTTTGCCAGTGATGGTCTCTGGGACCGTCTGAGTGACGATGACGCTGCCGCAATTGTGCATTCTAAGGTGGCGGAGTTTTGCTGGTCTGAGGAGTCAGCAAGTCCCACGAATGCGACGAAAGAAGCCCTTCAGTTTGCTGCAAATGCCCTTGTGGAAGCTGCGCTTTTAAAGCGTAGCATGGACAATATCACGGCCATGGTTATATTATTCTCTCAAGTGTCTGACGAAGAGGCTTAAGCTGAAGCAGACTTTGGATCATTCGGTGCTGATTCGTGCGTTAACTTCAGAGAATAAGCTCTTTATTTTTAAGGTAGTCGAGTCGTTAGTATCTGATCCTATCTGCGGCAAGTAGTCATTTTTTAACTTATATTGTAAAACTAGTAACATTACACTTGTAATCCCTTTACACAGCATTGACCGTGCCTTTTAGCTCTACTTCATCAGTTGGCGAGCAATCATTCACCCTATGATCTTCACGAACTGTGCCCAAGTCATCGTCATCACCATCCACCTCCGCGTCCTCAGGTTTTTTATCCTTGACATTCTCACCATGTCCTAGTAAGTTAAAGTCTAGTTTGTCCACAATTTCCTGCGGATCCGTCGCTGGGATCAAGAAGAGAAAGAAAATGGGCACCACTTTTAGCGCGCTGCGCAGGATTATGGCAAGCCACAACATATCGTAATCATCCTTAGCGATGCCCAACCACGCACAAACAAGAGCCCCCCAAAACTCGCTCACACTCCGAGAAAAGTTTGAAATGGACATTAAAAGTGCAAACAGCGTACCCTCAATACCCTTTGGACAGAGCTTAGCACAAAGTACCATCATTGGCATCGTCTTTAGACGACTAATGACGTCTGCAATCACAGCATCACCCAAAACAAACGCCTTGTCTGGTATCCCAATATTCAAATTTGCGCGCGTGACCAAAACGATGTCTAAGAGCGACACAATGGCTAGACTGAGCTGCGCAATGAAAAAAATGCGCCGAAACGGCATATCTTTAAAGCAAGCATTGTATAGCATGGTTCCAACCATTAAAAACATGAATCCAAATGCCGATACAGTTCCTAAAAACTCGGGGGTAAATTGCAGCACATCCGTTGAAAAGTAAAAAAACACTTGCGAGTATCCAGGGCTGATAGCACCGGACAAAAAGACCCACAGCGCACACATCCAAATAACAGGCGTGCCAATTGCACCTTTAAGCTGTGCTACTTGCCTCCTTGCTGAAGTCTTCCAATGGCGCTTATTCACCGTCGTTTTAGCCTCATGCATAAGTGTGGAGAGGACGAAAATGGTCAATGGACCGATGGCTGCGATCCCAAAGACACCACGTACTCCTAGCTTGTGCGTCGCTGGACCAGACATTATCGATCCTAACACACCACCTACAGACATAGAAACCCACGATACAGATTGCAAGTCGTTGGCACCATACTTTGGATCTAATCGCGACATTTCTACAACTCTAGCATCTATTACCACGTCGATCACAGCTGCTGACAAACTATTAAGCATGAGCACTAGCACTGCACCGATTGGACTAATGATAAGATCAGGAATCGCAAAAATTATCGTTGCGATCGTGCCAATAGCACTGCACAACATCATGTACGACTTGCGATGGTACCCACAGAGCGGCAAACTGTCCGAGATGATGCCGTAAAAAGGTTTGATACCCCACGGTACCATCATGACTGTCAGTAACGACTGCGACTCAGTCGGTTGCAACTGCAGATTGTCTTTAAAAAAGAAGTTGATAGCAAGAGCGCTAAAGCTTGTGAATCCTTGAACAGCGTACACTGTACTCACCAGCAGCAAAAATGACAAGCCAAAAGTATGTTGCAGTCTTCGAAGCCAGTCGCTAAATTCTTGCAGTCTTGAAAGTTTTTCAGTCTTTTCGTCGTTTTCGTCATTATTTCGCTCGTGCAAACTATTTGGCTCGTAAGAAGGAGAGAGCGCTACAGTTTGTAATTTCGCATTGACGATGTTCGATGAGAAAGTATCAGTGGAGCTAGCAGTTGATGCAATTGATGGAGATGTTGGTGCAATGGATAACATCACGTCACATTCATCATCCTGCACTCCGAGACCGCCAAAATTTGAGCGTGGTAGCCGCTTACGCGGAGACACAACGGTGGTGGCTGGCATAGAGCCAGAGTTACTAACGGTTATTTTCAACCCATAATTTTTTCTAAAAGTCCAACGCTGCATTTGTCAAAAATTAATAAACAAAAAAACACATGTCACGCTAAAATTGTTAGCGAGCGAGATTTGATTTTTCCTGTATTTTCGTGAAACTGTGAATTAACGTTGAGTGGTCCAAATAGAACCCCTTGCCTCTTAGAGTCCAGTCGACGTCTTGATCAGATTGACTCATATTGTAGGTACTAGGCAATGTTCCCCGCTTTCCCGAAGCATTCTCGACAATGGCACGCCGCAACTCAATTCAACTCGGCACCAAGCAAGAAATATCACATCAATTCAGGTAGGGGGAGGCAATGTACCTTCATAAGCGGGGGCCCCTTCCGTTAAGATACTTGACGTGGTTAGGGCTGCCATCCGAAAGTTGCGGCGTAAACGTGATGTAAATCTGACGGCAAAAATCAGAAGTACCTTGTTGATGGTCATTGAGTCGCCAACCTCATGGCCAGCTTGGTTTTTCGCATCGCCGCAGGACCAGTCTCACTATTCTGATTGATGAAAACTCATTCCGCGAGTGATTTCCTACATGCGGTCAACTGCAAGGGATGCGACAAGGGTCTTCGTATAGTACGCGAGAGCCATATCCGTCGATCACACCGGTGCATGTGATGTCGTTGTTCGATCGATGGAATTTGCGTCGACGGAAATTCTGTGCAAGCTTCTCCAACAACTCCTACTTGCCGTTCGGCTTCCGAACACAATAGATGGGTGTCGAATGGGGATACTTGCTCTCACGTACCGTCCCTGCGTCGTGCTTTGCACGGAAAAAGGCGTCAATGACTTTGCACTGCTCCTTGGGCAGAAGCCATTGACGTTTAAACAACACTTGGTTCCCGGAACCAGGTCGATCTCATGACTGACGCACACCTCGGATCGGTCCTACCTCCGGACCGAGGTGTCGTACAATGACCACTTCGGCCAAATCGTCTTCCTTCAAGGCACTGCCGAACTCTACAAGGGACATCTCGTCCAGCTCAAGAAGAGCATCTACTGCGGGCATAGCCTCGAGGCGGACGTCTCCATTTTTTCTCCCCATCGTACCGTTGACGAGGGTGTATAACTGTGCACCGTCATCTACGGTAGATACACCCTGAATCAGGGTCGACGCCCGGCGTCTTGCAGCCGGCATACGGCATCGCTCCCGCCTCTGTACAGAGGCTATATGTCTCGGTGAGACCAGGGTGAACACGCACTCCGCGTCGTCCGTTGTCACCCTCACTTTCCGCTCCTTTGGATCCCCGATGTTCTCTACAACATCCGGCAAAGAACTGCCAATCCTGCAGTCTTCGTCCAGTGGATAACGTGCCACTCCACGCGCATCTGAAGGGCGTGTCCAAGATGCATCGGACTCTGTCCGACCACGCCATCAATGGCATGCAGCGATTGCTTCGCACCGAGAGCAGTGCTCAGTGGTTTACGTGCCACTCCACGCGCATTTGAAGGGCGTGTCCAAGATGCCTCGGATTCTATCCGACCATATCACGCATGACATGCAGCGACTGCTTTGATACTCGAGCAGTACTCAGTGGTTTTCATGCCACTTCACGTGCATCACGGGGTTCTCGCCCTCGATGCCTCAGCCCTTGACCGACCATATCACGCATGACATGCAGCGACTGCTCCGAAATTTAAGCCGCGCTCAGTGGGTTACGTGCCACTCCACAATCAGTCCGTGTGCCACGCTCGGGACTCCTGTCCAATACACCGTTGGTGTCTACCAACTCGGACATTTTAATGTCTAACACGTTGACCGTTTCGGCTCAGTGCTTTCGCCAATATCGCTTTTGTCTCCTAGCAGAGGTGCGTTCGTGACTCGCCAAAGCTCCACCATGAGACGTGCGCATAGCGCCAAAGATCTTTGACCTCCAATCAATCCATGGCTCATGGTGTTCCAACCATGCCATTCTTAGGAT